GCTTACAGAATTTAATTTTTTAATGCAGATCTTCTCTCTCCTAAAACCAAAACCAATACTGTCTTGTATTTGAACTGGTTAGATTCTATATGCATTATGCAATACATCTGTAACAACAGCTCTGGTTTTCATTTGGAAAGAAAAGGGTGGAGACCTTTAAGGTGATTGTTATGGTTTGAGTGGGTTCTTTTAAATAGCTGTGAATTGACCATGAGGCAAGTGAGCTTTGGGGTTTTTTCTCTGGTCAGTCGGGGTTTTCCTCACTCTGCTTCATGGTTTTCAGCCTGGACCACCAGCTTTGTAAGATGTGGTGTGTAAAATGTGCTCCGGGGTTGCTGAGAGGAGGATGCTTAGGATTTAGTGAGAACTGGTTGCTTCGTATCCACATATGGCATAGTGCTATGGTTTGCCCAGAAGTTAGTGAAAAACTGAGACTGATCATTGTCTGGGAAGATGGGTTTTTTCTGTCCTGTTACAGATTTTTTTGAAAGTGTTCCTTAAAATCTCATATGGAAATGTCTTTATATCGTTAGAAAATGAAGGAGTGCTGCTGCACAGCAGGTTACACCAAACTTCATTAACTGGATTTCCAGATTTCACTAGAGTTCCTGTTTCTCCAAATTATTTCTCAAAGCAGCATATTTCTTGTCTAGCCCAGATTAATTTCAATCATGTTGTCTCTATGCCTGAGCTGATGTCATCAGACTTGACAGGATGACTCATACTGTACTTCCAGTGCATAACATTGGCATCTGTGTCCATCATGTTCTCTACAAAAGACTAAATGTTGACAGAGAGAACTTTAAATGAAAATTGATTCTATGAGTCTTCATGGGTCAGAAGCCTGATGATAATACAGAGTTTCTTCTCTGTATTGTAAGCACATCCCCTTAAGATGGATTGAGATCACTTGTGTTTCTTTGTCCTTTTTTACTGATTTGAGGTGGGGAGCATTAATTTGCAACACTGCAAGGTGTAAACATTTCTTAGGAATCATTTACGGTGAATTTCCTTAAGATGGGCTATGAGGCAACCTAGTATGTTGCTGCTGAAAGTGGTCACCTTGATCCCACAAACCATGTCCTTTGTCTTAGCTAGACAGTTATTTTACTTCTTGCTTTGGTGAGTTAAATCAGCTCAACAACAAAGCAAGTACTCGCTTTCTTTTCATGCTGGCTCAGGCAGGGAAATCCACCCACAGGGTGGTAGAGCCAGCAAAAGACAGGTAGTGGAAGTGCAACATCTGCAACTAAGTGGGTTGCAGGTGACTAGGACTATTTCTTCAGCTGTCTAATGGAATTTCACCTTTCAGGAAGCCAAGTAATGCTGACAAGTTATTTTGCATGTGTTTTTTTCCAGTTGCTTTATCACCTAATACCAATATTCCATTTGGTTTTGAGGAACTGGATCCTTATCTACTAATTTCAGTATTAAAGGCAATATATATAACAAAAAGGCTTGTACCGGGACATTTTTTGTTATTTCAGAATTATAATTTCAATTTCCAATGTTGCTAAGGTAAAGTTAGGTCACAAGGAATTCAGCAATGCTCTTGGGTAGAGAAGGTGAAGTGTATCCCAGTAAATGTTGTTTTATCTAAGCAGCTCTACCATAATTTTGATGTTGAAAATCCACTCCAGAGACTTTGGACATTAAGGATAACATACATTTCTGAAAGAGCATGTACCTCATTGCTTAATGTCATATAGAATTGGTTTTTACATTTATCAGTTCCCCTACATTTTATTACAGCAATGACGATAGGCATTTTTTGATATCAAGCAGATGTCAGCTTAGATGTATGCTAGAGCTGAAGTTTGTACAACTGCAAAAACCTCGTTTGGTTTTGCCATTTTCCAGTAAAATGTGACTAATTTCTTTAGATCGTTTCCTTTGCATGTTCTGCCTCAGCAATCATGCAAGTGCGTTTGTTGCTCCCATAAAGAGCATCACCTGAGCGCTGATCTCCATCAAGCTGGTCAGTGCTGTTTTGAGCAGTAGGTTACAACCTTGAAGTTACATGTAACAGAGTTCTAGCAAAATGCTTTTTGCTATTGTCTAAATGGTAGGCTGAGAAATTTCAAAGTGGTGTTACAAGAAAGAGAATTCCTATTTCAAAAGAAATCCTAATACATCTTTTTAATTCTGTTTATTATTAACCAGTTTTCTTAAATGCATAATATATAGTGAAGTTGAAATATCAGCTGAAATGGCACCTTTTTTCTTTTCCTTTTTGCATGTGTTCTGTGTGTTTATAAACAACTCACTAGCAAATGCCCCCGTAAAGAAGAGATGTCTATCTCCATGCTGGTTCTTGAATTTTCTCAGTGTTTGTGTGCCATATGGTTTTACAATAAGGAAAACTCCTCAAAAGGCATGTAGGTGGACTAAAAGAAGAGGAACTAAGATAAAACTGAAGAAAACTAGTAGACAATTTTGTTCATTAAATGCAAAAACCTTAACTTGATACTGGGTATACCACAAGTAGGAAATTTTAGCTAAGCCATAAAGGTGCATTAGAGTGTTTCTTTGGGGTAGTATTTTCTTAACATGAGTTGGAAAACAGAAGTTGCCCGGAAAAAGTGAAGAAGAAGAAATTTTATTATTCTATATTTAGTAGTTCACCACATTCCTTTTTGCTTTAGACTTTCCTTTAAGAAATCTAAACCTTTAGAAAACTAATTTTGCTGAACTCTTATAAAGCCTCTGTGTTTCCAAAGCATAGAAATGACATAGCTGTTGTATTATACATAAACTGTTGAATGTCACTATTGAAGGTCTTACCCAAGTATGCTAAATCATCAACCTGGACCAACGTTTGTATTTGTTATTACTTTGCCGTGCAACAATTTCAATGCAGTAATAGCCGTTTCTCTGGATCCTCCGGGTTCTTCTCGGAAAGAGGTGTCAGATGTGTCAGGAGTTAGGCACCAGAAACACGCTTGGATCAGTATTAGAAAAGTTCACTTCCAGCAGCAGCAGCAGCGCAAATTCCCATCTGGGAGAAGTGAGTGGTAAGCAAGAGCGTAGCAACAATAATACCAAGACTGGAGAAGTCCGTTCCTTTCCTGTGACAGGGCTGACACTGGCAATTCGGTTGTCATTTCTGCAGAGTTGTTACAGCAGCACAGGGGCCTTTAGGTACAATATTCAGTTCTTCTTGGAATTGGTGCATGGTCCCCGCTACATTAAAAACAATTAAAAATGGGGTATTATTTTCTGTTTCACTGCTAAGGTGTTTTATGCTTCTGAAAACATAAGCCTCTTCTAAAAACACTTTCAAACAATTAATTTTCATCACTGAAGAAAGTCAGGATTTAAGACATAATCTGTGATTAGTATATGATTTCTGCAAGTCTGGGTTATATGGAAGAAAGTAATCTCTCCAACTACCATTGCAGATGCTTCATGTTTATATCATGTAATTCAATAGACAAATAAGATCTATTTAATCCTAAAACTTTGTCTGGCATCCCATATCTCTTTTTGGGGGGGAGAAAGGAGGCACGTTGCTGAGTAGGGAATGTATTGTGAGCAGAATTCAGGCTGGAATTTGTCTTGGCTAACTTCGAGCATCTGCAGTATAGACATCTGCACTTAAACCACAGGCCGGTGTATTGAAAATACACTGATTTGGAAAAGAGGAGGTCAGTTTTCACGACTTGGAGGAAAGCACCATGTGGTCTTAAATGCCAACATTTGAAGGAAAACCCATTTCTTCGTAGGATGTCACATCTGGATGCCATTATAGGGCAGTAAAATTTGTGTGCTTTCCATCAAGATTGTTTTGGAGATCCATAGTGCTTGTTGCAACAATATCAAAGCACCAAGTGACTTTGTGGCTCTACTAAGGCCAAGGTGGCTGCTGAGGTGCTTCTCACTTGGTGAATTAGGAGGGTTTGCTTTGTAGATTTCAAATTAGAAAGAATTTATATGAGATTAAGAATGAATAAAGTGTAAGGATAGGTTTCCACAGGTGATCTTTAGGTCCCAGGTAGCCTGCTAGTGACTCTGGCTTCCCTGTAATTCTTCTAGCTACTGCTCAGTTCACTTTAGCGTATTGTGTGAAGTGCCATCCTGAACAGAAGGTTACAGAAAAGGAGCAGATCTTTGATACAAAGACTCATCAGTCAAACTTAGCTTTGAAAATCTCATCTATCTCTTAAGAGTTGCATATGGAGAAGTTAAGATTTCTGGACTAGGTTCTTCTTGTGAGTGTTCATTTCAGGGTTAGCTGGCTGACGGGCTAACATCAAGATTTCACATAAGTCACAGACAGGGCTGTTATCTGTTAAAATTCAATGAGAAATGCAGACCAAAAAAATCCCTAGATTTTCTGAAAAGAACTACAAAACTAATTGCAAATAACTGTCTACAACTGTGTTAATTTTTCTAGAGCGTATTATTTTCTTGCTAATAAAATATGAAGTATTTTTTCCAAATGTGTATGCATCCCCATGTAATATGCTGAGCAGTAAATATCAGAGTTGCTGTAATCAGTGTACCTTTATGTTACTCAGAATTTTTGTTCATATGTTTTGAATTTAAGTCCAGTTTATCTAAGTATAGATAAACCATCTTAATGGATGAAATTTTGTTATTACATTCTCCACTTTGTACCTTTCTGCTCAGCATGACATTTAATGAAATTTCAGAATAGCAGTAGCTCTCTAGTATCTATTATTCAAACACCACTTAGAAAGACATCCAGAAAGATGTTGTTTGGTCTTGCAACGATTTGTGATACTTTTTTTAAAGCAAAGTTAATGAGACGGCAGCTATGTTTATTTAAATGGATTTAAAATGTTCAAGATAGTTCTGAATTGTAAGATGCATATTTGTTTAATCAATAGAAGGTTTTATCTGAGATTTTATCTATTTTAAGAAGCAGATCATCTGTGTTTGATCACAATTTTAGTATAAAGTACCTGTTCTTCAAATTGAACACTACAAATAGATTCTTATTTTTCTTTTTTTTACATTTAATTTTTTTTTCATAGGGGGACAATTTCGAAGAAACCTGGGCACCTATTGACAAAAACAAAGCAGAGGAAAAAGCGAAAAAGAAACCAAAAAATGAAAGGCAATCATACAGAAATTATGACGAAAAAGTTAGGTGGAGCAGCTCATCATCCAATTCCAGATGACCAGGACACATCAGAAAATGAAGAGGATGATTCAGAAGAAGAAAACAGCAAATCATTGTGTACGTTCAGTGGAGGTCCAGAGGATCCAGTAACAGTAAGTGAAGAACAGCCTAATGGTGATGATGAAAACCTAAAAGAAGCTGAAGCAATTTCAAGAGAAAGATTTCCCATTGCTGTGTCTGAGGTCTCAACGATGTCAAACAGTCCAGTGGAAAATGAACTGCCTGTAGAAAGTGATCGTTCACTTCTAATAGATACAACCCCTTTGTCTACTGAAAACGTAACCAAAAATGCATTCGATGATGAGGACACACATGAAAGGCACAGAGAAAATTTTTGTGGAAGCAATTTCCTAAAAATAAGTAATGATAAAAATTCCATCCAGGGAACAGAAGGCATCCCTGAAGATTATAACACCCCACTGTTAAGCACAGAAAACAAACTCGGATCATATCAAATTACGTGTGAACCTGACGTGGAAGCTAAACTGTTAAGCTTAAATGGAGAAGGAAAAGAAACCTCTCAGTGTTACAATTCAAATGTACATGATAATATGCCTGATAATAACACAGAGGAAAAAGGTGTATTAAAAGCAGAAGAGAATAGCTCTAACGCCTGGGCTTTTTTTTCAATTAATTTACCTACTGAGGAATTGCAGCTGGGCTTTGATACACAAGCTCCTCTCTCTTCTTGGTGTGAGGATAAATTTGTAGGTGAACAAAGACCCCCAAAAATGAGGAAACCCAAACAAACTCATGCAAACGGTTCACCACACCTAAACTGCTATTGGTCAAATGGAGGATTGGTAAAGGAAAACCATCAGGTAACAGTAACTGAGGAGGCTGGCAATGTAATAAGCAATGGTCTGTTGGAATCTCCAGGTGGTGAAGTGCACCTTGATTCCCTTGTGGAAGCCGGGGCCACTTTCATGCAATGTTCAAGTGAAGTAAATGGTCCAAGAAATGATGCTGCACCGATTACATCGAAGAGGAAAAGACACAGACGAATTGTCAACTTGGCACCAAAGTTTAATCTTCCAAGACAGTTTGCTGGTACTACAGAGGGAGGGAAGGAAGTCCCAGTTAAAGATTATGTTCCTGAAAAAAGTGTTTGGGAAGTGGAGGGAAAGAGCTTTCTAAGGAAGGACCTTGGAGAGGAACGTGAACAGGACCCTGCATTGCAGGAATATTCTGCACTTTACAGTGGCACTGAGGCAACCTGTTCCTTACCTACCCTGGATGCAGATGTTCTTTTAGATGATATTTCTTACATTCATCCAGGACAATCTTCTCCTGTGCCAAAATATTCCTGCAGGGTTTGTGTAGTTTCCAGGACAAAGGAGGAGCAAGCTAGAACTCTTAAGCAACAACAGGTAGTTGATGAAAAAGAGAGTGAGCCTGAACGAGTTCCTTCAGAGGTTGCAAACAGCCAACCAGATATTTTGTCTTCTGTTGTTTCTGAATATCCAGAAGATTCTAGTCTATTGGCAAGCTGCAGTGAAAATGTGCACGAAGCAGATGACCCAGAGCCAGCAGAGGCCTCACAAGTTGAAGATAATCAAGATGTGAATATGAAATGTAGTTTTCTGGGACTTCCTTTATCATTAGGATTTGCATTTCAGCTTGTGCAGCTCTTTGGTTCTCCAGGTCTTCCACTGGGTAATGCTCTTCTCACTACTTCTATGTAAAAAAATAACCAACCAAACAAAAAGAAATCATAACCTCTCCAAAACACCAAACAAAGCAAAACAAAACAAAAAAACTCCAAAAAACCCCAAACCACCAAAACGCCTCATTGCAGGTACCATAGTGTAGGTACCAATATGTCAAGTATTGATCCTATTGAAAGGAATCACTGCTGCTGTAATGATTATTTATTTTATTTTAATTTTTACCTAAAATCTTCTTCAGTCTCTGTCAAAGGTGACATTGTGTTTGGCCTCATATTTTTAGTCTTCTTAGTAACAAAGACTTACTAACTCTAAATGCAAAGCATGCAGCTCTTGTTGATGTTTTAATACATCCTACTGAGTAAGACTTTACTGTGGTTATTACAAAACTAAATGAAAACATGGTACAATATGTTGTTTCCTTACATAAAGGTTCCATGTTTGTTTTTATAGTCCACCATAGTAGCATTCCTTTTTTCTTTATTTATTAAAGTTTTCATAGACCCTCATGTGGCTTAGATGCTGTTCAAAACCTTTCCCAGAGTCTAATTTAATTCGAAATTGAGCATCGAACTTACAAGATGCATTTTCAGCTAGTGAATACCTTTATTTTAATTGTGCATGACTGAAAAGTGTCACAGTCTTTTATACTTGCCTTCCAGTTGTCATATTTTTGTACTTTCAGTTTAATCTTTTTAAGTTAGCAGTTAGAAGTATGAGATCCAGTTGTCATATTTTTGTACTTTCAGTCTAATCTTTTTAAGTTAGCAGTTAGAAGTATGATGATCAGTCCTCAAAGGAGTTGTGTGTGGCAACCACAATTTCCAAATTTAGGGCAGGCTAACAAAACCCTATATCACTGTAGCCCCAACAACAACAGCCATGTGTTTGGAAATCACCCCAGGATGTGGTGCTGTGTATGCACCTGCTGAAAGAGCCGCGTTCCCTCTGCATAAAGTTCTGCGATTTCTTTGGTCCAAATTTAGTCAGTGGAGAAACAGTAACTTTGGTCAACAAATAGAATTTAAAAGCACAGACCTTTTTTTCAGCACGTAGACGTTTACACCTGTTTGTTTCAGTAGAATTTAAAGTTAAGCATGTATTTGCATATGAAAATCTTAAGATGACAGCTGAGGTGGAGCCTAGGTCTGTTTATCTGCCCAAACTGACCTCAGGCTTCTTTGTTTTTATTGTAAAAGTTTATGGCGATGCTACCTGCCAGAACAGTGATGCAAAACACTGGCAGCATTGCTGGGCTTGGTCCCCAGAGGACCTGCAGAGCTGCTTTATCTGAATCTGGCACCACACACCGAAGAACTTGCCATATAGAGCTGAAATAGAGCAGAGAGGTTCTGTGTAATACCCCAGCTGTTACACAGAAAACATTTTTCTCCTCCAAACTTGGTGAGTCTTCATATTTGTGATCTTAGATTTCATTATCTTAGAGGGAGTTGGCCATGACTTGAAAAAAGGGATCTTCCAGGAAAAAAGAGGCATTCAGAAACACTCAAGAGCTTAGTGAATCACATGTCATTCTTCTCTGAGCCAGTAGCAAATAAAATTCTTTGGTATTTAGATGAGTTTCCTCTGGAAATAACCTTTAAGTAACACAAACCCACCCCGACATCTCTCTAAAGCCCTGCCAGCTTGTGATCACTATTTGTTAGAGGTTTTTTTTCCATCAAAATTGCGTCTGCTGCTGAAGCCTTGCCACATCCTCATTTGACTGTAATTTTCCTACGACTTCGAAAAGTCTTGTGCTTTTTTGTGGCCTGTTATATATTAATAGGCTACTACTTATTGATGTACACATCTGAGCTCTAGTATTTTTACAGGACTGGCAATTGCAGTGCATTTTTATTGAAATTATTTTGGATGGAAGAATTTTGGGAAATAAATGTATTTGGTTATTTCTAAATGAAAGATTTAGTTGACTGACATGCTTGTATGAGTCTCATATAAGCTTAGAATATATTTCAGACTGTTTTCTTACAAAGATTCTGTTCTCAGCTTCTTAAACAGTGTTAGAGTTAAAACGTTTTAGAAAGTAATTTCTATATTGAAATTGCACATATTCCTATAATTAAACATTTTAAAGGTTGTTAGTTAAGTTGCATTTTTTTAATTTATGGGCTGAAAGCTGTCTGTTTTTCTTGTTTGTGCCTAGTTTTAGGGGAGTATGTGAGAGAAATGAAAGTGTTGTAGGAAAGCCTTTGCATAAATAAAGAAACCAAAACCAAATCTCCTTCCCCTTCCTCCCCCTGCTGTGCACTGGCCTTAGATTCTAGAAAACCTAAATTCTGACTTTGCTGCTGGCTCATTTAACTATCTGCTGATTTTTTTAAAAAAGTATATATATTTAACGTGTGCAAAAATTGTAATTCAGTGGTATATTTTGGATATGGAGAGATCTGAACACTCAACTGCAAAAAATATTTTCTTCTGCAGAATCCTTGTTGCCAGATGATTATATAGTTCCTCTTGACTGGAAAGTTTCAAAGATGATCTATTTACTGTGGAAGACCTCTGTGGAGGTATGGATTTTAGGGGATTTCGGAAGGCTTTCCACTATTCCAGCTGTAAAGAGGAATTCTTCAGTTCATAAGCAAGATTTTGTTCTTTGATAGTAAATTTGCTATGCTTTTTTTTTTTTTTTAATACCCACAATGAGGAGATGGATGTTTTACATACTCTTCTGAATATTTCCAGAACCAGCTTGCGGCCATGGTAGGATTCAGGTTTTGAATGATCAGCTTCAGAAATGTGTACAAAATAGTTGAAGGAGATAAAAAGAAACCAAAACCCCAACTCTTTTCCTTGATACTTGTGTCCTGACCTAGCCTATGTTCATTAAACAGAACCTACCATCATCATGTTGTTTTCTTTATGTTTTTCTTCCATCATCTGAGCAAATTTCGTCCTCCACTACCTGTAGCTTCTTCATGGCTACTTCTACCAAGAGCTGTAGCAGAGAAGTCATTCTGAGTAACTGACAGCAAATTAATTCTCCTTGTCTAGTTAGAAAGTGTTAACTTACAAATTATGGGGTTTTTTCCTATTGTGATCGTTGCTTTGTGAAAGTTTGGTTTAATTTAAGGAGCCACTGTAGTGTCTGGTAATGGAAATAAGGAAAATTCTGTAAATACAATGAAATTATAAATTATAATTATTTAGTAGTTATAAAATAGAGCATGGACCTTGTTCTTTCCCAAAATAACAAAATCTCTTGACACATACCTTCTTCTTTTCTTTGAACTATTATCTATTTTAGGAAAAACAGAAAACAAATGGATTGCAGAACAGAAACACCTTGGCTGGTAAGTGTATTCTGTGATACAAAAACCGTATCAAATACTTCTTGTTCAGAAGAGAAAATAGTTAATGGTGAAATGTGTTGAAGGTTTTCAGCACAAATGAGTGGTAATAGTCCTCTGTGCAAAAGTATGAGGATGTGATAAATGAATTTGTGCCTCTGTTGATTGTGTACATCATATGGCAGAGCTACGGTTGCTGGGAATCATCACTTCACGTCCCCTGATGCAAGTGCTGAAATTCCTTGCCTTTTAAAGTTTCTCATATGGAATTAATCCAATACTTAGCTCAAGTTTACCCATTCCAGATCAGAAACACATTTAACATGAAGAAGTCTTACTTTAGACTTTATTTCTCTGAAAGTTTGAGCATCTTCAACTTAGTTAAACTTAATGATCACTAGAAATTGCCAGCATAGTAATAGGTCACACACGTGAGCAGCAGAAATATCAGGGTTTGTGGGAAGCTCTGGGGTTGCATTAATTCCTGCAATGTAGGTGTTATGGGATAAGGTTGCTGATTGTCTTTTCCCATTATTTCCATATTAGTTTAGTACAATTTCACAAGTTCCCTAATATGAGATTAAAAATCTCCTTGTAAATAGAAGTATTCTGATGAAATAAAAGCTTGTTCTAGAAATATTCTATCCTAACGTAATATAAATGACAGACTATGTGAGATAGTTTCAGGTGTCTTTGGCTGCAGTTTGTAATTTCTTTATTTTTAGATGATATTATTAGTCTTGAAGATCTAAACAAAAATTGCCAAGACGATCAAGAGTCTTCTGAAACTATTCCAGAAATGGAGCTGTTTCAAGGGTTGATAGAGGAGAACATCATGACCTGCGCTAGCACTGGCTGCCTGGATGCTGTGTTTCATCAGTCATGACTGACCAGCTTTAATTCTGCATGAAGGAAAAGGTAATCAGTCACACTTCTGAATGTGTTTTCATTCTCGTATTTCACCAAACATCTAAGGAACATTGTTTTTTTCATAACTTTTAAGGTGCATTTAGTATCACCCAACTTTATTTTTTTTTCCTTTGTGTGAGGGTTGAGGGTTGCTTTGGCTTGGGTTGTTGTGGGTTTTTTTAAGCCTGAATGGGGAAAAGAGAAGGCAGCATTTTGCTATTAAAGCCATATTTTATTTTATTTTATTTTTTTTCTCTGAAATTTAAAACCTGTCTGGTGAAGTGAAAGGAGTGGTCTAGGATGCCTGAGAGCTGGACTTTGTTCCCAGGTTGATTATTGTGGCAATCTGTTGAGAGTCGTGTCATCTCAGTCCTGTTTTCCTCGTCTCTTCTGCATGGAGAGCAATGCTGACTCTGTTCTGGGTCTAATTAGGAAAAGCACTGTATGAGCAATAAAACAGTATTTCACCAAGTTATGGAAAAGTGACAGTTCTGCTTTTCAGTAGAGAATCAGCAGCAGGAGGTTGCAACAGGAGTCCACATACTGAAGCGTTAATTTTTCATGAATGTTTTCTTTTGGTATGACAAAATGTGCTACTGAGTATTAGAAAGTACGCTACCGTGTTCATGCTTGTCTTGTGCATTTTTGAACCCTTTGGTAACTTGGCAAAATTTGTGCAGTTTGTTTATGAGAGATATTCTAGCCAGATTGTGATAAGAAGTAAGGACTTCTGGATCCAACTGGAAAGTGCTAGTTTAACTTCTCTATACCATTTTCCATTAGTTGTTCCTTACGAAGTGGAAAACGGATTAATCTGTAGCTTTAAAACAAACTGAGGTACACGGAAATAAAATAACTTGTACCACGGGCAAATTGAGCCAGAAAAAAACAAAAACAGATCCTGAGGCTTAAATTTTTCCCGTCCAGAGATCACAGGACCACCGGAATATCATCCATGTGGGGTCTGACCAGGGGTCTCTGTCACCCGATGTCCTGTGCCTGACCGGAGCATGAGTCAAGGGTTGCAAGAGGAGTTGGAGGCAAACGTGTGCTGTGTTGGGACAGTTATAAAAGCAGAAGTTGACATTTTAAAAGGTTTCTTAATTTTCCCAGTGGAGGCTCACAACAGAATTAAAGTAGTTGAATAGTTTGAGTTGGAATTGAAACCTCTCAAATGGGGTCTTGATTTGATTATATGCATTTTTATGTCACTGGTGACAAAAATGACATTGCTGGTCATTTACTGATTAGCCTGTACCAACTACTGATGTAGGAAGATGAGGGGAATCTCTCTGAACCTCATAGTACAGACAGCGCTGATCTCGCAAGGTGCTGTCAGAACACATTATTAATCACATCAAGAACATCTGGTAGTGGTACTGTCCTCTTAGATGGTCAAACGCTAAAATATTTGGTAGACAAATAAAAAATACTTTCACCAAACATTTAGCCCTATGTCATCAACAATTTTTTATAAGTTATCTATTTATAATGCTGCAAATGTGAACACGTCACAAGAAAGATTTTTGCTTGTGATACTGACTGGCTGTCTCAGTGTGGAGCCACTAAGCTACTACCCCAAAATGTCCAGGTTTATTGGTTAAAATGTTTTTATGCTAAAAAAACTAACTTGGACAGCTCTATTCTTTTCCCTGAAAAGAGTTGTGAGAAACCTGGAAATTTATTTATTCATTTATTCCTTGTGTGATTCAAGAAAGGAAAGGCATTTGCAGAGTACCCTGTCTTATTGTCCATACCTTTATCTGATTGCTGCATCCAACAAACTGGTTTTTTTCTATTAGAATTACCCGCTTTGTCTGTCTGCCATGCTGCTCCTGAAATGCTTTTGGCCTCCTTCTCCTGCTCCTCATGAATGCAGCAGAAGTGTCCTGTGTCCTGCAGCCCCGTCTGTTCCTCAGCAGCCACTTGGGGCTGGTCTGAAGCAAAATGGCATTAAACCCCGGGTTGTTACCTGAGCTAATACTCTACAGCACTGGCTTTTGTTGGTTCTAGGGAATGTAGAATTAAAGCGAGGCCTACTTAGTCATGAAAGAAGACTCCCAGTCAGTGTTTGGTTTTTAAAAAAAAACAACAAACACAACCAACCATCCAAAACCACAAACCCAAGGTATGGCATGCTCTGCACAGAAGGACTTGGTCATCAAGATCTGTGCCCCGATCAGGTGGTGAAGCTGGGGGTCCCTTGTCGCAGATGAAGGCTGTGTGAGGGTTGATTGCTGCATGGTCCCATCCCCACAGCAGCTTCAGAGCACAGCAAAACCTTTAAGCTGGGAGTCCTAAACTGGTTGTTAGGGCTTTGTGTTGGGAGGATGAGGTAAGTTAGTTGGTAAGGTTTTATGTTGATGGTGTTTTGGTTTTTTCCCTCTAGTTGAACATCTGAAATGAGTCCTTTCAATATCTGAAGAGTGCCTATAGAAGAGCTGGGGAGGGACTATTTGCCAGGAAGGGTAATGATAGGACAAGGGGAAACGGTTTTAAATTGGAAGAAAAAAGATTCAGATTAGATATCAGGAAGAAATTTTTTACTATGAGGGTGGTGAGACACTGGAACAGGTTGCCCAGGGAAGCTGTGGATGCCCCATCCCTGGAAGTGTTCAAGGCCAGGCTGGATGGGGCCTTGAGCAACCTGCTCTAGTGGGAGGTGTCCCTGCCCATGGCAGGGGGGTTGGAACTCAATGATCTTTGAGGTCGCTTCCAACCCAAACCATTCTGTGATTCTATGAGTCAGGGAAAGTCCTGATGGCTGTTGGAGGGAGAGAGTCCAACCATCTACCCTACTCTACAAAGTCATCCCATGTCCCTTAGCACCGCATCTAAACGGCCCTTAAACACAGCCAGGGATGGTGACTCCACCACCTCCCTGGGCAGCCTGTTCCAATGCCCTATCACTCTTTCGGTGAAAAATTCTTTCCTAATGTTCAGTCTAAACCTACCCTGTTGGAGCTTGAAGCCATTCCCTCTCGTTCTGTCACTAATTACCTGTGAGAAGAGACCAGCCCCAACCTCTCTACAGTGTCCTTTCAAGTAGTTGTAGAGAGTGATAAGGTCTCCCCTCAGCCTCCTCTTCCTCAAACTAAACAGTCCCAACTCCCTCAGCCGCTCCTCATACGATTTGTTTTCCAGCCCCCTCACCAGCTTCGTTGCCCTCCTCTGCACTCGCTCCAGCACCTCGGTATCTCTCTTGTATTGAGGTGCCCAGAACTGGACACAATACTCCAGGTGTATACAAATGTTAGGATGTTAAAAAAATAATTTAAGAAGTATGTAAAAAGCATCTCTCAGGGTTGTTAATCGACTCGTGCTCGCTGTCAGGCACAGGATACGGGTAATGCAGACCCCTGGCCCAATCTGTTAGCCCAGGTGATCATGTTTCTGTATTCGTGTTGTGTAAGGGAGCTTTTATCCCAATGGGAGGGCGAACAGTCACAGTGTTCCTCTGTGAAAACACAGGGTTAATCTCAAGTTCTTGTGAGAGCTCCTTATTGCAGCATTGGCAGCACATCAGTGTTTGTTCTGGAGATTAAGCAAGAGATCCTGAATTAAAAAATGCTGAGATCAGTGAAAACAGTATTATTTTAGGGCCTAGTAATTCTCCTTAGACCAGGACTCCCAAGTGCCAGATGTTCTACAAATGTAGAACAAGACAACAGAACCTGATGTGAGTTTAAGCATTTATCTGCAAAATTGCTGAAAAATAAAAGCTGGCATGTTTGGGTTTGAAGTGCAGCAGTCACTTTGCAGTAGAAGACTTTCCTCCTGCAGGAGAAGTCTTTCCTCCACAACAGCCCGGCAGGCTTGAGATTTTAATGCGACAAATCTCTTGATAACACATGTTATCGCTCCTCCTTTCCCTGGCCGTGCTATTCCTGTGGCTTTGGACACAGCCAAAGGAGCTGGGACAGGCAGGACTGTCTTTTGGCTAGCATGAAAAAAGATAATCTAAAAGATACAAAGCAACTAAATTAGTCTTCCGTTATTGCCACAGAAAGCATCATCCCATGGCCAAGCTTCTTCCAGTTGCTACTTTGATACAACAATAATAAAAAAATATTTTCTCTATCCTTTGACATTTAACCGCTAATTTTAAACAAAATGAAGCAAGAGAAAGTGTACAGGATTATGGCCAGAAAGCCTCACCTGCCTTTTACCGTGCTTGCCAGGGAAACCTGGCCTAATATTTACTTAAGCGGAGAGCAAAATTACCAGGGAGAGTAAGAGTTGTGCAGAACAGTCCTTCTAGAGCTCTCAGAAAAGAGTAACCATCAGGTTGTGCTGGTGCTTCACATGAACCTCCTCAGCTTGGAGGCCCGTGAGGTCCCAAGTGAATGTAACAGGAAAAAATATGCAACGTAATAAAACAAGATGTAGCTGTGCTTTAGTAGTGTTGGTTGAACAACTATTCATTATATAGTGTTTGTGATGTGGAGAGGGGAAAAAACAATCCACCGTGTTGCTCTTCTCCTTATTTTTTAGCCTTGAGATTACTAGGTCCTTATGTCCCTAGTTTTGACATCCAAGTTTTCTTCTCTTCCTTTAACATTCTGTTTGCGCTTTTATTTTTCCTTTGCTTTCCATCATCTGCTTCCTCTCCATTTTGACTTTTGTTTTTTAAACAAATCGGTATGAGAGAGAGACTTTTGAAAATAGCAGGGAGCTGAACTCTTCTCAGTCTGAGGGTCGGATTTGCGACTGTTACAAGTCTTTCTGCAGCCTGTGCTGTTGTGATATTTCAGCAGAATCTCTTTTATTTTATTACAGAAACTTCTCACTTTGATTGGAAGGACTTCAGTTGGCCACCAAGGATTTTAAATGTAAGGAATAACCTGGAAGAAAGTAACCACCGTAGATTTTTGGTGTGAATCTTTGGCTGTCTTCTCCCCACAGCCACCCAATATCAACCTCTCTGTCCACATAATAAAAATCAAAATTGAGATAACTTTGTTGTGTGTGGCAAAAGGTCACTTTCTGAAGCTGTTTGGGATTTATACCTTCTCAGAGCATCCTCAAGTACAAAGAGACAGCGAGCACCACAGAGAAAAGAGGTGTCTGTCAACATGAGGTGGGAGCTTCAGGATCTGGTATTTAATTCACTTGTATCAGGATCCCAGACATTGCCACATGAACCTGGTAGTGATGCCTACAGGCAGGGAAAGGTGCCTGTTTCTCTGCTGTTAATTTGGTGTCTTGCCCTACTTCTGCCTGCTCTTACCTTTCATCCTGTCACTCACAATTACATCCCAATCTCTTTACCATGTCAAGTGGGAAAAGCCTTCATCAGTTGCTCCTATTCTTTCATTCAGAGGTGCACAATTTACCTTGCTTTCTCCTGAGACCAGGCTTAATACAGCCCATTAACTAGACTAATTTGATACTGTAGAAATAAGGAGAAAATTTTGCTATAGACCTGATTCGAACACGCTGGAGGAAAGATGCGCACAGTTTGTGGTAGACTGATAAAACTTTGGTAGCCAGTAATTTGATGTTTCTGTTAGTGATATTCCTTTTTTGAATTTTTTTACTAAAATTTTTATGATGTGAGGAGAAATTTAAGCTAAGAGCAGGTTTTTTTTTCTTTTTAAAATTTTTTTAGATGGGGGTTTTCCTTCAAAATTAAGGGTGATGTTTGTTCCTCAACTAGAACAGTAACCTCATCGGTAACAACTCTTACTGAGGAAATTATCCCAGTAACATGGGTGAAGTGTTGATTTCCTGGGGGAGATGAGCAGCAGAAATTAATAAAACCTCGACAGTAAAAAAATCTAAAACTTTGCTTATACAAATGTCTATGTAAGGACCATGGAGGTATGAGAAAAGTGGGAAATATTTACATATGTAGCGTTAGATAAATTACATAGGTGATTAATTTCATCCCATGTTTTTAAAACACAATTTCATGGGCTTTTTTTGTCCAAGGTGTGATTGGATTTATCTCTGTTCTGTTTTTCTGTGGAGGCTGTGAACAGGGTGAGGCTTCTCCACCAGCCCTCTGTTGCTTTTCTGGAAAAGCACAAAGCTACTCCAATGTGTTGCTGTGGTCCATAAAATGTGACATGTTCTGGGCATCTGTCTTTCAAGTGGTGCTTGGGATGCCCAGGAATGGAGTGCTGAGGTGTTGTGGATGAAATATTTGACACAGTTATGATTTAGCAGCGACTCAAGATTTATTAATTGTTTGAGGTAGATCAAAAGGTTGGGTTTTAGGGGCACTTAATCATTAAACAATTTAAGGTTTTACAAGGTGATTCAGTAGAATATATTATAAATGGCGACTTAATTGCAGATTTGAGAGTGACAAGATTTACACTAACTTTTTACAGGGCATTCTTAAATCAAAATATATGTATATACACGTGTATAAACACAAAACATACAAACGGACAGCATTCAAGGAGTCACACCAACACCACCTGAGTCTTTAACCACTCAGACCATAGTCCCTTGGCAGGGCGTGGCTCCAGTGAGCTGATGGGTGCCCTTTTCAACTCCTCACACAAAGATGGAGAAATATTTGGATCCAATTAAATATACAGACACACACACTTATTAAGGCAAATGTGTATATTCAAACACATAGCTAGGTAGAGAGGTGGATGGAAGGGGTGGTGAGCCTGTAGTTAATATTTCACACTCCTTGAGTTTAGAGTAAATACTCACCATGCATCGGCATTCCTCAACGGGCCATAATTGAGCCTCAAGAAGTTTGATTTCGCCTTGGCCCTTTGTCAGCAAATGGTCTTTAAACCTTGGGAGGTGTATGGCTGAGGGGTGTCCCACCTCAGGGGAGGTGCTGGTCACAGTCTGCTGCAATCCAGGAGAGCTCAAAGAGTTTCCACTGGAGTTGCTATTTATAGGGTCTGAGATAATTTACTTTTGTCAGGTACTTTTCCATTTTGGCCCAACTTGGATCATGAAATTTTTTGGTGCTTTCCACCAATTGCACAAGCCCAAAACTTGCTAGACTTCGAAGTTCTGGTATCCCTCAGTTTGGGCCACAACCCAGGTGCAGATGTACTAGTCAGCCAGGAGGTAACTGATGTTTGCTGCCTTTCACAATCCATCCCTGAGTTACCCTAGGACTTATCCTAGGTCGGTGTGTGGTCCAGGGAGGGGGAATTGCACCAAGCACCGAGTGGCCTGGGTGGGATGAGGGGGGATTGCACCACCATATGAGGATAGACCCAGTGCATGATGCCAAGGTGGCTGGTGGGGTTCACCCGCCATGAACGGGAGGTGGGGTGTGATGGACCAGAAAGGAAAGTGTGCTTTGGACTCACCTGAGGCACCAGTAGCAACTGAAAAGTTATTTTGATGTCAAGCAAATGCCACTCAAAGGTTAATAGTTTCTTCCTACTTTTAGTTTTCAGAGACAAATCTAAGTCCCTGTATTTTCTGTTACTGAATACTAACATTCCAGAATGCTTAAAATAAAAATAGTTTTCAAAATCTCAAGGTATTCTTGTACAGACAAAAGGCTATTCATCTTTTAGTAGAGTGTTGCCAGTTGTAGTTTAATTAAATCCCACCCTCTGCCCCATATCTTTGAATTTTAGAGTTTATGTATCTTCTTTCCTGCTACTTTTTTCCCTGATTCAGCCATGCCTTGTAGACATGGCTTTTCAGGGTGTGCTCTAGTGCCCGAGATTATTGGTTTGTGGGTGGGTGTGATGTGGTGGATTTTTTGTTTTGTTGTTTTTGTTTTGTTGTTGGGGTGGTTTTTTTTGAGGTTCAACTTGATGATCTCAGCGGTCCCTTCCAACCATGGTGATTCTGTGATTCACCTGGTGTTGGTGTGCCACATCCCAGGGAGCACAGCTTTCTCCTGGTACACACACACTCTTTTTAGTTCTCTTTGCAAACTCCTAAACTTCAGTGGTGAAGTTCAATAGTGATGTCACCCTGTGCCATGCCCGAGGCTGCCTTCTAACCAAGCTGGGGCTGATATTGTGTATGGCCCTGAGGTGGGGAGAACATGGTACCACACCAGCTCTTTTTGGGTTAATTGGAAGAAGCTATCATTTCTTTCTTTGGCTTTGTGAGGCGATCACATTGAAGCAGCCCAGGTTTTCTGCAGGGGAAATAAATCTTAAACTTCCTAAAGTTTCTCATGTGATAACGTGTTTGAAAAAAAAGTCAAGTTGCTGTGGTGAGCGTGAGGCACAGGCTCATTCATGCAGGGCAGTTATTTACCTGTATCTGCTGGGAATCCTTGTCTGCTTCTTTTGAGAAGGGGGGGACGAATGGGAGGGTGGGGAGGTTGACTCCAGTAGCTCCATAACTGTCAAAAAAGAAAAAAAAATAAGAAAAAAACGAAGAAAGATGAGCCTGTACCTGGGGTGCTGTAACTAGCTTCACTCCTCCCAGGTGCTTTGATGATTCCCTTTTTGGGGTGCCCCGCAGCTCAGAGCCCACCCGGGACGGGACATTCTCCGCACCGGCCTGTGTTCTCCCGCCTTTGAGACTTTGGAGATTAATCTTGCTTTTAGATAACTAAAGATGGGACCCGGGGCTGAGGTTGAGGGTGGGAAGCTGGTCCCGTAGCCGGGCGGTTTTGCCGTACGAGCCGCGAATGTCCTTTTTCTCCTCCTTATTTCCCCCTAAGGCCGCTTTCGTTTTCATGGGGGCAGAGTCTCGGAGACCGACGATCCCAAACCCCCCCCTTCCCTCCGGGACGCCGGTTTCCACCCGCTCCCGGGCCCGGCCGCACCGAGGGGGGGTCCGGGGGAGGGACCCCCGCGTCCCGCCGCCTCCCCGGGCCGGGGGCCGGGCTCCGGA